CTCGCTCATTCAAGGCCTCATAGGCCATTGGAAGGAGATTGGGGTGTTGAGAACTCATTAGAGGATTCTAAGTAAGAGAGTGACTTAACATGATTGCTTTATTGTTGGTGATAGAAGCAGGGGGACAGGGAAACAGCAACAGTGGGTAAGACTGCCTGGGGATGCTGTAGGCACTTGAGAAGTGGTAGTACACAGGATGCATTTCGGAGAGGGAGGCAAAGGACGCGTCTTACTAACGATAAGTCCTTGGGCAGGTGATTGACCTTTCCTTGGCCTTAGTTTTCTCATCTGAGTGATGGGATGATACTCATGTACCTACAGCTTTATGTTCTTATGAGGATTAAATGAATTAGTACTTACGCCATGTAACTAATACTTTTCTGACAATTTGGAACAAACAGTAATCAATATGTAAGTCAACCAATAAATTGCTACTTTTAACTTGTTATTATGGTTGGATGTAGAAAGGAAGAAATCAAGGATGACTCCTAGGTCGAAGATTCACCCACATAGCTGATTGTCTTTGTGCACAGGTAATGTCCTAGGGGATACAGAGGCCCTTGGTCTCATTTTGCCACCATTGACTGACAAGCCAATGACTCATTTAGCTTTGCCTCACTTTACCTTCTTATTTGTAAATAGGGCACATGCCAACTACCCCTCCAGTAAATTTCAGTGAAGATATGAAGTCAAATTGCATGCTATACCTAACAGACTTTGTATTTTTCAATAAAGTTATTAATGAACAAGGTAAAAATGACTGATCTGTAAAAAAAAAAAAAAGGATATACTTTTCAATCTATGGTTTATATGTTCAATGACTGTGAAATCCAAGTATCTTTGTATATGTGTTTTTGTCTAATGTAATGTGTAAACAAGAGCAAAAGGAAAGGGAGGAAGTAGTTGTTAGAGCATTTTCTGATCAGATCACAAGACTAAAAGAGGGACTAAAATTGGAGCAGAAAAGACAATGTTCGGTGAGAGAGATAGAAACCTCTCTTACTGTTCATGCAAGAAGAATAACTTGGATGCTGTTAAAAAAAAAAAAAAAGAAGAAGAAGAAAGGATTAATGAAGGCAGAAACCCATTCCACTAACTCAGGTAGGATCTTTTGGGTCAATGACTTCTTATTCTTAGGACCTGGAACCCAGGTTTGAATTCTGGGTCTGAAGGGCATCTTGGTTGCTTCACAGTTTTGGCAATTATGGATAAAGCTGCTATAAACATTGTGTGCAGATTTTTGTGTGGACAAGTTTTCAGCTTCTTTTGGTAAAAACCAAGGAGTGTGACTGCTGGATTGTGCAGTAAAAGTATGTTTAGTTTTGTCAGAAAATGCCAAACTGTCTTCCAAAGTGACTGTACCATTTTGCATTTTCACCACAGTGTATGAGAGTTCCTGTCGTTCCACATCCTCGCCAGCATTTGGTAGTGTCAATGTTCCAGATTTTGGCCATTCTAATGGGTGTGTAGTGATATCTCACTCTTGTTTTAATTTGCATTTCCCTATGACATATGATGTGGAGCATCTTTTCAGATACTTATTTGCCATCTGTATATCTTCTTTGGTGAGGTGTCTGTTATGGTCTTCAGCCCATTTTTCCATGAGGTTGTTTGTTTTCTTATTGTTGAGTTTTAAGAGTTCTTTGTCCATTTTGGGTAGTAGCCTTTTAGCAGATGTATCTTTTGCAAATATTTTCTCCCAGTCTGTGGCTCATCTTCTCATTCTCTCAACGCTGTCTTTCAGTTTTTTAATTTTAATGAAGTCCAGCTTATCAGTTAGTTCTTTCATGGATTATGCCTTTGGTGGTGTATCTAGAGTCATCACCATACTCAAGGTTATGTAGGTTTTCTCTTAAGTTAGCTTCTAAGAGCTTTATAGTTTTATGTCTTATCCATTTTGTGAAGGGTGTAAGGTCTGTGTCTAGTTTCCTTTTTTTTTTTCTTTTTGCATGTGAATGTCCAGTTGTTCCAGCACTGTTTGTTGAAGAGACTATCTTTGCTCCATTATATTCCCTTTGCTCTTTTGTCAAAGATCAGTTGACTATATTGATGGAAGTCTACTTCTGGGCTCTCTATTCTGTTCTATTGATCTATCCATCTATTCTTTCATCAACATCACAGTCTTGATTACTGGCAATTTATTCTAAGTCTTGATGTCAAGTAGTGTCAGTCATCTGACTTTGTTCTTCTCCTTCAATATTGTGTTGGTTATTCTGGGTCTTTTTCCTCTCCATATAAACTCCAGAATCAGTTTATCAATATCCACAAAATAACTGCTGGGATTTTGATTGGGATTGCATTGAATCTATAGATCAAATTGGGAGGAACTGACTTCTTGACAATATTGAGTCTTCCTATTCACGAACATGGAATATCTCTTGATTTGTTTATTTATTTTTATTTCAATCATCAGAGTTTTGTAGTTTTCCTTATATGGATCCTGTATACATTTTGTTAGATTTATTCTTAATTATTTCATTTTTGGGAGTGATAATGCAAATTGTGTTTTTAATTTCAAATTCTACTTGTTCATTGCTGGTGTATAGGAAGCAATTGACTTTTGTATATTAACCTCGTATCCTGCAACCTTGCTATAATGGCTTATTAGTTCCAGGAGTTTTTTTGTGGATTATTTCACATTTTCTACATAGATAATCATGTCATCTCCAAAGACAGTTTTATTTCTCCTTCCAAATCTGTATCTTTCATTTCCTTTTCCTGCTTCTTGCATTAGCTAAGGCCTCCAGCATGATGTTGAAAAGGTGTGGGAGAGGGGACATCCTTGCCTTGCACCTGATCATAGTGGGAAAGTTTGGAGTTTCTCACCATTAAGTATAATATTACCTGTAGGATTTTTATAGATAGTCTTTATCAAGTTGAGAAAGTTCCCCTCCATCCCTAGTTTACTGAGAGTCTTTCTCATATATGGGTCTTGGATTTTGTTAAATATTTTTCTGTATCTATTGATAAGATCATGTGATTTTTCTTTTTTAGTCTGTTGATGTGATGGATTACATTAATTGATTTTTGAATGTCGAACCAGCCTTTTATACCTGTGATAAATCTCACTTGGTCATGCTGTATAATTCTTTTTATACATTGTTGGGTTTGATTTGCTAATATTTCGTTGAGGATTTTTCCGTCTATGTTCATTAGAGATATTGGTTTTAGTTTTTTTTCTGGTAATGTCTTTGTCTGGCTTTGGTATTTGGGTTATGCTGACCTCATAGAATGTCATTGGTTTCTGCTCTTATTCTTACTATTTCTTTTCTTCTGCTTACTTTGAGTTTAATTTGCATTTCTTTTTCTAGGTTTCTAAGGTGAAAATTTAGATAATTGACTTTCGATATTGTGTCTTTTCTAATACATGCATTCAGTGCTATAAATTTCTCTCTAAGCACTGTTTTTGCTGCATCCCACTAATTTTGATAAATTATATTTTCATTTTCATTTAATTCAAAATATTTTAAAATTTCTCTTGAGATTTTGTCTTTGCCCCATGTGTTATTTAGAAGTGTGTTGCTAGGGCCGGCCCTATGGCACAGCGGTTAAGTGTGCACGTTCCACTTCAGCAGCCTGGGGTTTGCCGGTTCGGATCCCAGGTGCAGGCATGGCACCCCTTGGCAAGCCATGCTGTGGTAGGTGTCCCACATACAAAGTAGAGGAAGATGGGCACGGATGTTAGCTCAGGACCATTCTTCCTCAGCAAAAAGAGGAGGATTGGCGGCAGATGTTAGCTCAGGGCTAATCTTCCTCAAAAAGAAAAAAAAAAGTGTGTTGCTTAAGCTCCACAAATTTTGGGATTTTCCAGTCATCTTTTTCTTATTGATTTCTAGTTTCATGCCACTGTGGTCTAAGATCAGACATTGTATGACTTCTATTCTTTTTAAATGCATCAAGGTGTGTTTTATGACCCAGAATCTTGATGAATGTTGCATCTGATCTTGAGAAGAATGTGCATTCTGTTGTTGTTGGATGAATTAGTTTATAGATATAAATTATATTCAGTTGATTGATAGTGTTGTTGAATCCTACTGTGTCCTTACAGATTTTTTCTGCCTGCTGGATCTGTGCTAATATAAGATTGTTGCAGTCTCCAACAATGATAATGGATTCATCTATTTCTCCTCGAAGTCTGTCAATTTTTGCCTCACATAGTTTGATGCTCTCTTCTTAGGCACACACACATTAAGAATTATTATATCTTCTTGGAGAATTGAGTCCTTTATCATTATGTAATGCTCTTTGTTGTCCCTGATAACTTCTTACTTTGAAATCGGCTCTCTCTGAAATTAATATAGCTACTCCTGTTTTCTTTTACTAATTGTATTTTTAGTATGGTGGATGTGTTATTGTTACTACTAATACTAATCCAACTCTGAGAGACTGGGATCCGTTTGGACCCTTGTCTTTATGTTCTGAGTTACATGATGCTTTAACTTAAAGGTGAGTGCTGACCCTAGGAAAATCTGGGAGGTTTCTTCTTCAGTTCAAATCGTAGAATTTGAGTCATTTGGCAGTTCTGTGTAAATAGCAGTATTCACTCTAGCATTATCCTTCAAATAAGTCTCTTCCTTATAGTGGCCCTTTGCAAAAAGACTATGTCTACTTTGAATTTTTCCTAAGGTGTACCTCATTACACATATGAGTTTGGGTGATTTAAATTAGAACTAATACCTTCATCTCTTCTATCCTGATTGCTGACCTTTCTCCTTTTCTTCAGCTAGGGCTGTGGGCATGGGTGGAGGAGAATAGGCTTCTATATTCTTAGCTAGCAGGAGGCATAGTCATTGAGGTCCTTCTGAAATGCACACAACCATTCTGGCTTTCTTCAGTCTCGAGAGAGTTTTCAGCACCTGTTATCATTGCCTTTGGCTGAGTACACCACATTTCTAATGGGCATTTCAGTTTCACTTCTGTACACCAGGGAGAAATAGCAGAGCCTCCTGCAGAATCATCCTGATCTATGCCTGCTTTCTCTGCCTTTCTTGTGTCCCTAGGTAAGTGTGAAATCGGCTGGGCCTACTACTGCACAGGAGCAGGTGCTGCCGCCGCCATGCTGCTGTGCACGTGGCTGGCTTGCTTCTCTGGCAAGAAACAGAAGCAGTACCCGTACTGAGATGGAGCCACCAAGAGCAAACAGAGGAGGAGATGAGCCGAAGGGGCTCGGAGGTCCTGAAGCATCCAGCTACTTTCAAAAGGTGGAATAGTGGTTCTAATCTTACAGTGCTAATGAAATGAAACCCAATGGAATCAGAAACATTATATAATGTGGAAGGGTTGTGCACGATTTGTGAAAGAAATGGAGAGCATGGAATGATAGAGGAAAATGGACCAAAGGCTAAAAATATTGCAGGGTGTTGGGTGTTTCTCTTCCACAGAGTATTGTTAATGCAGAACACAAACACACACAAACAAATTTATATATGCAAACTAGGGTTTGGTTTCTTTTAAAGATGAGGACTCAGAGCATCAAAGGGCTAGTAGAAACAGTATTATGTCTGGAAGCAGGGTACCCCGCAGATGTTCCCTGTAGGTCATGGCGCTTCTGAAAGCACACGAGCACATACAGACACACGCATCCACACACATGCCCACGCACAAACATATACACTGTTGCACAGACTGTATGAGAGGTTAAGCCATGCATTACTCCTCTGTTTTCTTTTAAATATACATTTAAAACACAGTATTATCACTTTATAAAGCATCTGTTAAACCTAATAAATGGACCAATAAGGCACTCTATCAGTATTTTGTATATCCTGCGTAAACTCTTTATGCCCTCAACATGTTTTCAGTGTTTATGCAGACTTTTAGAGTAACGCCTTTGTATTTCAATATTATTCAAAAATATGCAGGATTCCTCTGAGTAGCTTCTGCTATGATATTCTTACGAAGTAAAGGGGCAAATTTCAGTCGACTGTAGGGGAGAATTCAGCTGAAGATATGAAAGTAATGGGAGACACTTTCCAGTCATTAGATGGTGTTTTCTTTTGCCCATTATTGTACTGTGCTGTACCACATTTATTTCAATATTCATTTTGTAAAGAATAAAAAAGTGCTATTTTGTTTGTATTTGAAAAGCTCTGTGAATAAATTCTCTCTTTGATCAATACCTAAATGAGTCGTAGAGTGTTCGTTCAGTTATTGGGTTTGCTTCCTCAGTTTCCTAAATATAGCCTTTCAGCTCCAACGTTCCTGTAAATTTCTCTTTTTCTTTCAAGGCCTCCCATTAATTCACTTAATAATTTCCAGCAAGGCATTGTTCTAGGCACACAAGCTACCAAAGGTGAGTAAGACATAGTTCTTACTTTCAACTGAAATTCTTTGCAACCAGAATTCTAACTTCCTAACTTCAGTCATGACCAAATTCTTAAAAGAGAATTTCAAATCTATTTTGGATTAAGTTTGAGAATATGGACAATACTCAGATGTGGTTTAGGGCAACAAGAGCCAGGTCATGGTTCAGGAGGTGTCTGGGCCAACAGTTTCCCTGATGACGACAGAGTTGTCACAAGCAGCCAGTGACTTGCTGCCCCTCCACTTTTTGCAGCGTGCTGCATTTCTTCAGTACTTCTGTGCCAAGGGCAATTTCACACTACTCTCTTTCGGGGATCTTTGCCATTTTAGGAAGATTATCTCACACTCCTGCGCCCAGCGTAAAGCCTTGACTAGAGAGAAAGATGTGGACCCTTTCATGACCCCCTAACAGAACCAACTCTCTCAGGAGCAAAGATTGCATACTGGTTAACGGATAGATTCTTTTATTAGGCAATGCTAAATTATTGCATCAAATCCATAAAACTTCAGTTTCGATTAGTTTCTAAATTATATACTTTCGCTTTTGGAAATTGAATATTCTGGCTACTTATACATTAACTATATTTTTTATTCTCTCCCTGTATTTATCAGTTTAAGTTGAATATCTGAGTATCACGCTTGCTTCTGGTTCTTTTAATCACCCAGGGTGAGGATTCTTGCTGCCCTGGAACAATGCAAGAATCTGGCCAATAAAATTCTGGACTTTCTGAGGCTTTGTTACTATGGAAAAAGTCACTCTGCTCTCAAATGCTTAATTCATAATGTGCTGAATGTCGTTTGATTGTGTTTCTTTGTCCACTGAGCAGGGGCTTCTCCACTCTGCGGTTTCCTGCGGAGAGGAGACGTTTGCACTTTGCTTCCTCAATTAACCCGTCATTTTCATGTATTGCTGGTGCTTTTCAACTTTTTTTTCACTGCATTTTCCTGTCAGAATAGGATTATGACTTCTTAGCTCTCATTATCAAGTTAGAGTTCTCTACGGAATTCACTAAAGTCTAATTTCTTGGACAAATTTGATGATGACGTTGTCCCTTTTGTGTGATCCATATGAATTTAGACATTAGCGAACCTCACTAGAATAAAAAGCTGGTCACTCTGACATGATGAAGTCAAATGGCAAATGCTCACATCTCAAGTTCTGGCTAGTCATGGGTTTTTCTGTTTCATGGTGGCCCAGCACTTCATGAGGAGCATCTAATTAATTAAAGATTACATATACTGCTTTTCAAATGAAAATTAGGATTCATGAAATAATAATAATAAAAATCTGTGAAAAGTACATATTCACAGGCTGCTTACTGGTATATATTTAAGAGGCAAAAATAAGCTCCATTTTCACAACCTCATAAAGCTTTCATTGCTTGTACATGTGTGGGGACCTGGAATTGGCCACCCCAAGATATGTCTCTTTGGCATCAGGATTATTTGAGGTTGATTGCTTTTGATAAACTGGGACAGGGAAGGAGGCTCTGAGGAATGGAACTTGCCCTTTGTTAGGATACATTTACATTTGTAAGGTAAATCTCTATCTGTAAAAGGTGCCTCCCTCTCTGTACCAGGAAGAAGAAAGGAGATGACCTTTTCTCCAAAAACTCTTAATCAATACCAAAGGCAAGGACTTAAATCTGCATTTTATTGTGGTAGTCTGGTAACCTGTAACTGACTTCCCTCCCCCTCCCAACGTTGGCATTTCTTAAGGATTAAGCATCTTTCCTTAGGCTAGGAACTGATTGCTGTGCTCACCTGTGACCACCCAGCTCCAGACAATCGACTTGCCTCCTGCTACGCCCTCTGAGACAGCAGACCACTACCTGCTGTGTCCATCAAGCGCTGTGCCGACAGGGCAATCTTGTGACTATTATGGGAGGGACATTTCAATCATATGTGAAACACCCTGTTTGGGGGTATATAACCACTATGTGTACCCCACTTCTTCGGTGCCCTTTCTTCCTTCGGGAAGAAAGGCCCCGGGCCATGGTTCCTCATAAAGCTTTGTTTAATTTTCTCTTGCTATTCTGTCTCATGTGAATTTAATTCATTCTCCGGCCAGACAAACCCACATTTGGGGAGAGGAAATGTCCTCCTCCCCTACACATGCTTGAGAGTTAGGTGGGGAGTTTTCCTTGTTTTCAGGAAGAAAAAATGACATGCAAAGAAGTTAATTGATGAAATTGAATTGATTCTTTCAATTTTCAACATACTTATTTTGTGTATTTGGGTACTAAACAGTTCTTGAGCACCTGCTACTTACTAGGCATTCTACTAGATATAAAGCTCTTAATAAAACACAACCACTGCTCTCAAGTTGGTCTCCAGGTAGTCAGGGAGAAAAAGAGTGAGATCACCAGTGATTACCATATCCTGTGATGTCAGTTGGCTCTCAAAGACAAGGAGGAAGTTTCTCCCAGGTAAGAAATCCTGCATAGATAAATTAAAAAGGGTAAAGAAAAGAAAGATGATAAATTGCATTTTTCTACTCTTTAAGAGACATCATTAGGAAAATAAAAAGGTAAGTCAAAGATGGGAAAAGTTATGTATTTGGCAAAAAACTTATATTCAGGACACATAAGGAACTCCTTCAAATGAATAATAAAAAGACGGACAACTCAACTTTTTAAATGGGTAAAAACTTGGATGAGACATTTTACAAAAGAGGATATATAAATGCCAATAATCACCTTGAAAAGGTGCTCAACATCATTAGTCAGGAAGAAAATGAAACTTAGAACCACAATGAAACACCACTTAAAATACTCTAGAGTGATGAAAATAAAAATATTAACACCAAGAGAATATATAAATGCTGAGGATGAGGATGCATGGTTGGAAGACCATTAGGCAGTTTCTTATTAAATTAACCATAGTAATTCCCCTCCTAGGGATTTATAGAAAAAAAAACCTATGTCCACAAAAAGATTACATAAGAACGTTATACATAATAAACCTAAACTGAGAACAACTAAAATGTCTACCAATAATAAAAAAATTGTGGTATATTTAAACAATGGAATACTACTCAGCAATTTAGAAAGGATGAACTTCTGGTATACACAACAACACAGATGAATCTCACAGACATTATGTGGAACAAAAGAAGCCAGACACAGGCAAAACTGACATGATAGAAATCAGAACAGTGATTAATTTGAAGTGATTAACTGGTAAGTACATGGGGAACTTCCTGGGATGGTGGAGATGTTCTATATATTGGCTAGGGTGGTGGTTACACGGATGTATACGCTTTGCAGAATCCATCAGTACGTGCACTGACAGTCTGCACTTTATTGTATGTTAATTGTCCCTTAATAAAAAGAGAGGAAAAGGTCTTTAAAGAATAGTGGTGCTGAGAGTTGTCTCACAGGGCTGCAGTGAGGGTGCATTGGGGCATGGTGAGAGATGAGACTAGAGATGAGGCAGGAGAAAGGAAAACAGTGTTTTCTGTGCCATGCTAAGAGAATTAAATTGATCCTGGAGGCAGTGGCAGGATTTGAAGTTGGGGGAGATGTGCATGACTACCTTTGTGTTTTAGAAAGATTCCTGGAGCAAGTATGGTGAGTCACTGGGTGGTAGATGTGGGGAGAGACATTGTTATAGTGTATTCATTTCACCATCAAAGGGTTGTTGAACACCTGCTATGGTCTAAGTGCTTGGGAAGAGAAGGCAAACAAGTAGGGAGATGTCACCCAGGTGAGAAATGATAGGGCCCTAAACTGGGCAAAGTTAGTGGAGGTGGAGAGAATGGGACCAATTAGAAGTGGAGGATAGAATCAGTAGATGCCTAGGATATAGAGAGTGGGAAGGACAAAAGTAGAGATGGTTCAGGTCTCATGTGGGCAGTTGAGTGGATGAACATGCCCCACACAGAGATAGGATACGAAATAACAGGAATGTAATTAAAGACTTATTGCGCAATGTGCCTGTGAGATATCCAGGTGGAGATGCCTAGTGGATAGTTGGAAATTAAGGCCTCAGGCTCAGGAGAAATTTGGGGTGTATAGATAACAAATATGGGTGATATCAGTGAATATTCATTCATTAATAAGAAACGAATGCAGAAGAAGCCTTAGGGAACATCATCATTTAAAGGATAGGAATACTAAAAGGATTCCGTTGAAGGAGCCATCAGAGACATAGGAGAAAATTCAAAAGAAGATATTGTTACAGACACCAATGGAAGAGAAAAGGATTTCAAGAGGGAGGGGATCTCAATAGTATTTATGACAAATGCCTCGGGTGAGTCAAGTTATGTTTATTTGATTTGGTAACTAGAAGATTATCACAGAAAAGAGCAGTTTTAGTAGAGTGGTGGGGGTGGAAATGAAATTTTTAGGGGTAGGAGAGTGAATAAGAGATACAGAAGAAGAGACAATTACAGAGCAATCTTTCCGAGAAATTTTGCTGTAGGAGGGAGGAGACAGTGGGGAGTTTCTGTTCAACGGATATAAAGTTACAATCATACAAGACGAGTATGTTCTGGAGATCTGCTGTACAACATGGTGGCTGTAGTTAACAATACGGTATTGTGCACTTAAAAACTCATTAATATGGTAGATCTTATGTTGTGTTCTTAGCACACACACAAAAAGGGATGCAAGGAAACTTTTTAAGATGACGGATATGTTTATTACCTTGATTGTGCTGAAGGTATCATAGGTGTATGCATATGTCTAAATTCATCTAATTGTGTACTTTAAATATGTGCAGTTATTTTGTGTATCATTTATATCTCGTTAACTTGTGAATAGAAAGAAACTTAGCAGTAAAGGGAAGGAGAGAGATGGAATTCATTATGCATTTTTG